GTTATTATTATTCTCCTTTTACAGGTAGAAAAACCAGGTCCCAAAGAGGTTACATAACTTGCCCAGGGTCATACAACTAGGCAAGGTCAACAGAGCCATGTATTGAAACCCAAACCTGTGTACTACCAATGCTTTCCAAGCTGTCATTTTCATTGACAAATGTTGAAACCAAGGGACATCATAAGAGTTTTCATGACAGAAAGTAGACATCTTTATTATAAAACAGCCGTGCATCAGTCTAGTTGTTTAAAGAAATTCCAAGTGGAGTATGATTTAAAGAAATAAAGCCATGTCTTTATAATTGGGCTTCTTACACATTAGTCTTCAGTTTTTGTCTTTTAGTGTGTAGTCTAACCTTGACTTCTTGGCTCTCTCCCAGCGCCAACAACCCTCCATCTGACTTTGGAAATAGCCATCATCAGGCTGGCTTAAGACTCTGGGCCAGGTTAATTTCCGAAGCCACAGGATGGCTTCCCTTGACTCCACAGCATCCACTCATCCTGAAGAGCCTGCCATTCCTGGCACAGATGGGCTCTGAATTCTCTGCACAGAATGAGAATTTCCCTCCTCATCCACCCCCTCGCATGGCTTCTGTCATAGCTGTAGCTCAGCTGTATCCATGCACTTCCCTACACATCCAGCTCCTGGAGAGCTCAGGGCTCCTCCATCTGTCATCTACCACAGGAAGAAGGAGAGTGAGGACAGTTATACCCAACAAAGACTTTACTTAGCTGTTTGACCTTCAAAGCTATAGCTTGTTGTATTTCTCATTAGAAACCCCGGTGATAAGATTTGCACATTACACACTTCCACTCTGCACCCCAGATCCCTGAACAATATCCTCAAATAAGCCAGTGGTTTCTACTTCATTGATAAACCTACTTCTAACAGAGGCACTTTCTTTCAAAGGGACCAAACCCACTTTCCCAGAACACAGTCCAGAACACAAGTGAGCAAGCCATAGCAAAGCTTTACAAACAATACTAATCTGTACACTTATAGAACTCTTTAGAGTCAGCAAGGTGCATGTGCATCCTTTATCCATTCTTTAGTTTAATGCTGTCAACAGTCAAGTGTGGTAGGTTTCATCACACCGAATTTACAGGTAGAGAATTTGAGGTTCAGAGAGATTATGTAATTTGCCCAAGGTCATACAGTAGAGCTGGGTTTCAAAAGGGCAGATGTTTTCATCCCAACTCAAACATGCCAGAGTTCTCCTCCCCCCACCCCCATTCTGTAACTCTTGGTGCCGCTTATATCCCAACTCTGTGACAAGCAGGCATCTGGATGCCTAGAGGCAGTCCCTAATTCGTAAGAGTTCTCCCACTTCATCGAGCCATCACAGATCTAAGATCTGGTCCTTAGGATATTGGTTTTTATTAATTCACTGATTGATTAACAGATTGGAGAAGGTAAGTCACACTAACTAAGCAAGTAACTAAGTGATAAACCCAAATATAGATTTCTTAACTAATACTGTGGCTTGTTGGGAGGTCAGAATTTGTAAGTTGCCACTGGAAAATAGTTGGCCAATTAGTGTTGGAGCTACTGTCCCCTTCTATGCTCCAGGGTCTGCTGGGAGAACTGGAAATGGAGGGGGGTGGGGCCAGGTCAGCTGCAACTTTAGGGCTGAAGATGGGCCCAGCCCCAAGGCTCAGCCTGGATCTCTGAGGAGGGAGGAATGGTCTACCTGGTTTGGGGACGGCTGACGTTAGGCCCTGCTTTGTGTCCTAGGTTTGGATGAGGGTAGATTTAAATGGAATATCAAGGTTTAGAACTGAAGGGTGGTACTAACACAATATTGTAAATCATCTATACTTCAATTAAAAAAAAAAAAGGGAATTGCAGGGTGGAAGGGAGGGAAAGGACGGGGCCAAGATTCTACCTTGGAACCTCCTTCATGGGGTGTGGAGCATCAGGCTTTAAGGTGCTCCCGTTTGACTTTGAAGACAGGAAAGTAGGAATCAACCAGAACTCTATAATTCACAGCTCACTTTGCACATGAATGGCCCCCACCTTGGAGCTATGCAGCCCTAGATTGTGATTCCGTGGAGAAAAAGAGGGATATCAGGCAGCTGAAAGGGTGGTCGGTCAAAACCTGACCCAGCTTTCAGAAGGTGCCTCTACGTGTGTGTAGGGCAGTGCCGGAGGGGGGCAGGGCTCCTTTTTCTCTTTCTTCCATCTCCCCTCAACACCTTGACGTGTTGAACTTTATCTGAACCTTGTACTTCTGGAAAGCAGCTACAGTCAAGAAATGCCTCCCCTGCTTTGTGTCCCCCCTCACCCCATTTTGAGTTCTGAAAATAGCCAACTTCAAAGGACTATCCTGTTCTAGAATATTCCAAGATAAGACCCCCTTCCACCCTTCCTCACTGACTCAGATAAGACCCTCTCCAGCCTTCCTCATGATGACTCCCTTGTTTACCTGCCTCTATAAAACCCCAGTTCCCGGGCTTCCCTGGTGGCGCAGTGGTTGAGAGTCCACCTGCCGATGCAGGGGACACGGGTTCGTGCCCTGGTCCAGGAAGATCCCACATGCCGCAGAGCGGCTAGGCCCATAAGCCATGGCCGCTGAGCCAGCATGTCCGGAGCCTGTGCTCCGCAACGAGAGAGGCCACGACAGTGAGAGGCCCACATAATGCAAAAAAAAAAAAAACAAAAAAAAAACCCACTTCCCTCCTTTTCTTTGATGCATTCCTCATTAGTGAGCATTGTCCCTTTTGCAACAGTCTGACTTATTGTCCTGTGCATTTTGTCTTTTACACCCTTCTCTTTTATTCCCTTTTTATTCATTGTAATGAGTTTCATAATGAGACATCTCCTGACATAATCTACCAAAAATCAAGCTCACAGACTGCACAACGATATGAATGTACTTAATGCCTCTGAACTGTATACTTAAAATGGTAAACTTTGTGTTATGTATATTTTACCACAGTAAAAAAATTCCAGCTGATAGAGAAATACAATGAAAATAATTTTATTCAAAACAATGAGAATCCCTACTATGTGCTGGGTGATGGGTTAGGGAGTGGGGAAGTGGGTGGGGCCTGGGATAGGAAATGAGTAAGATCTGCTCCCTGTGGTCCAGGAGCTCTCAGACTTGCTGGGGAAACAAACATATAATCTGCTAATTGAGCACCATAATTCAGAATGCCACACATTGTAATAGACATGTGTACAGCCTGATTTGACTCAGGCTGAGCAGGGCCTTGAATGTTACACTAAGGAGTTTGGATTTTATCCTGTGGTAATTGGGAGGCATGCACGGTTTTAAAGCCAAGGTATGACACGGATAGATGTATTCAATTCCTAATGTCTTATCACCAGTCATCTGCTTTGTGTGGAGCGTGTAAAAGATCAATAGCTGTGACAGCTTTAATTTTAAAAAGTTGATCCCCCATAAAACAGGCTCATAGTCATATATCTCCTATTAAAAATATTTATGCTCAGGAAAGAAGGATTTAACTTTGGTCAAGTCTATTGGGAAGACAGAGACGCAGAGCTGGCAAGTACTGTGTAAGAAATGTGCTTGGGAACACTGAGAGCTCAGAGTGGGGCACTGCCCGCTGGCTGAGGGAGTCAGGGAAGGCCTCCAGGAGAAAGTGGGCTGGGGCAAAGGAGAGGGAACAGGGGAAACTGGAGCATATAGACAAGGAAGGGGGCTGTGGGCCAGATGGCAGATGGCTTTGTGTGCTAGGCTGAGGGGCCTGAATCTCTTCCCCACAGGTGATGGTGAACCATACCGGGCTCTGTTAATAATGATGGTGATGCTGCTGATACTGCAGTGCTTACTACATGGCAGACACTACTCTAAGAAGTAAGAGCTTTACCTGTATGGACTTATTTAACCCTGACACTCAGGAAAGTGCATGGGTAGATGGTTTAGATCACTTGGATGGCCATGTGGACAATGGTGGACAGAACAACAGTTGGGACACTTGCTGTGGTTCAGGGGAAAGACAAAGGGAGGGATGGAAAGGATGTGATGGCTTTGAGAAATAGTTAGGGATAAAACAATCAAGACATGATTATTTACTGTTTCGGTGGTGGAATTGCTGAGAAAGAGAATGGAAGCTGGGATGAATCTCACTTTTTTGGCTTCGGGGCCCGGATGTATTATTGCACCAACAGGTAAAGGATTGATTACTCTGTTCCATTTCTCAGAGGACTCGCTGAAGTCGCCCGGTGCCTCCTACTCCCTCACGAGTAATTTAGAAGTTAGTTTAATTTCCAAACATTTGAAGATTTCTCAGAAATCTTTCTGTTATTGATTTCTAGTCTAATACTGTAATGATAGGAGAACATCCTTTATGTGCTTTCAATTCTTTTAAATTTGTGCAGGTTTGGGTTTTTTGGTTCAGATTATCTTGCGAAATGTTTCTTTTGCACCCGAAGAAAATGTGTCTTCTGCTGTTGTTGGCTGGAATTTCTATAAATGTCATCAGGTCAAGTTGTTTGATCGTGCTCTTCAAGTCTTTTATAAATTTGATAATTTTCCTGATAATTTTCCAACTGCTGGAGTTGTGAAGTTGTCTATTTCTCCCTTCAATTCTATAGATCAGTTGATAGATCCGCACGGTCAGGAGGGTACTATGGCAGAGAGGCTAGAACGTTTGCGTGGAACTGGAAGAAACATTTTATCTCTTTAAATTTACTCTAGAATGTATAGACGAAATGGAAATCACTACGTATCCCAGCAGGCCTAGTGGCACTCAGGACAAATGCAAATAAGGGAATCCAGGCATTCGGCCACGCCCCTTTCCTGAGTTGGCAAGACAAACTGGTACTCAAGCCAGCCAATCGGAGAAATGCTCACCTGTGGGGGCGGGGACTCGACGAGAGCCAATAGGACGTGAAGAAGGTGGTACCATGGGCCAATGGCTTGGACGACGGGGCGGGCTTTCGATGAAGGGAAGGCAGTGGGAAAGATGGCGGCGGCCCTGGAAGCCTCTGGGTGGTGGCAGCTGTGGCGGCGGCGTTTGTCGGCTCGGGATGGGTCCAGGATGTTGCTCCTTCTTCTTTTGTTGGGGTCTGGGCAGGGGCCACGGCAAGTCAGGGCGGGTCAAACGTTCGAGTACTTGAAACGGGAGCACTCGCTGTCGAAGCCCTACCAGGGTGAGGCGCCGGGGGCGAGGTGGTCGTGCTTGGGGAGAGCTTCCGGACCTGAGCTTGTCCGTAGAGGCGGGGGCAGTGAAAGGCTTCATGGCCCCGACGATGCTGCCGGCTGTGGGTGGGGGCACCGGGGGCTCTCGTTGTGTTTGGGAGCCACGGGTAAGAAGGGCAGGGGCCCGTTTACCCTCACCCCGACCCCGGAGTTAGCTCTGGGAGTTTCCAGCAGGTCGAAGCCGCACTCTCGGATGCCGCTAGCGCCGGGCCTGGAGGAAGGGGAGCTTAGAGTTGAACAGGAGGAATGTGGGAAGGGGAGAGCACTGCGACCGATGGGAGTGATTGAGGACCACTAGCAATGAGCCAGGCTCCGGATGGAGCTGTGGATGTGCTAGAAATAAAGCAGGCGGCAGACGTAGGGTAGAACTTGGCCGGACTGAGAAGATAAAATTCTGTTGTCAGTTAAGACACGTGTTCTTCTCCAGTCCAGGAGCCCTACTGATGAAAGAGGCTGGTTAGCTTTGCTCTGTTTAGTGTTCGTAGACCGCTAGGCACAGCTTATCAACCAGAAAATTTACACGGTTAGCTACAAAGAAGACCAAATCAGTGTAGATGGCTTAATCAACACAAGTCTGTTCCCCACTGGAAGATAGGGGGACAGCAAACAAACAAAAACACAGAGTGCAAGAGTGTATACACTGCTGCTAAGGGTGATTATTTACTTAGCAGATGCCTCCAGTGCCTTCTCGTTGCTAATACTGTGGGTTACACAGACACAAAGTTCTCACTCTCAAGGGGCTGATAGTCTGAAGTAAGGAGAAAAGTAGCTTCACTCTTGGGTTGTTCAAAGAAAGAATGTGATTAAGCCCCAGAGCCCCAAAGGGTCAAGCTCTTTTGGTATAACTGGGGGAACTTTTTATTTCATGGTGCTAAGCATTTACTCACATACAAAATGGGGAAGAATGGATCTGAGCTGTGGCTACTGTGGCATGGATAAAGTGACAGCTCTGATGTGCTCTGGGGTCTTCACCTGAGAAGGTCTTTGTGAAAGGAAACTGTAAAGATGGTAAAGAGTTGAAATGTTATGAGTGACAGAAGGTGGGAGATCGAGTGACATGAAAGGAAAAAACGGTGATGACTCCAGCTTTCGGAGGGTCCATGGTGGCTTTCCGAACGGGTTGGTGTTGAAGAGAATGAACTGATCTACTTCCTCTCCGTAGGTGTAGGCACAAGCAGTTCCTCCCTGTGGAATCTGATGGGCAATGCCATGGTGATGACCCAGTATATCCGCCTTACCCCAGATATGCAAAGTAAACAGGGTGCCCTGTGGAACCGGGTGGTAAGAATCTTTCTCCCTCCTGTGTGGCTGACCCAGAAAGTACTAAAAAGTTCACCAGTGGCATACTGACTTAATTTCACTGTCTATCCCAGTATTCTGTCTTCTGTGGATATCAAGGATTTTCATTTCAGAGATTATCATGACCTTCATAATGAAATCAGATATTTAGGGAGATGCTCTGTTGCCCTAAGTATAGCAGATAATCAATTTTGATTCTATTTTCTGAAAATAGAAAAATAGCAGTCTTTAATTCCTGATTGACCTGAGTGTTATTTTGCAGGTTAACTCATGTTTAATTACTTTGCTTTATGAAATAGAAGACTGCTCTTTTAAATTTATCTCAAGCTTCATCCCAGTAACACCCCCCCCCCTTGTTATTTCCCTTTGAGTCGAATTTTAAATTTTATTTGCGTGTAAAAGCCACTTTGAGCCCTTGGTCATTTTATTTGTCCTTCTCTGGGCCTTTTCTAGCTACATTGTCTTCCTTGAGGTATGGCGCGAGAAGTGAATGCAGTATTCCTGGTGTGGCTGCACTGTGATTTGGTACAAGTGTAAGATGATGCTTTCTTTTCGGTTTCCAGGGCTCTTTCTCAATCTTTTATGACCACTTTTAGGAATGACCTTGGCATCCTTTAACACTTTCTCATGGGTTCGTAGAAGCTAAGAACTTACTTGTACATGGTTTTTATCGTTAGTTGTAGACAAGTGAATCTCAGAAAAGGAAATGATTTACTCTCCCCTGTGTGGCAGAGAATTCTAAAGGAGCAGTGGGATGAGAAGTTTCTACGTGGAGCTGTTTGCACAAGCTGGCCCCTTATCCCAGATTGCAGTGCTGAACTCAGTCTTGGACAGAATGCAGGGCAGTGTGTTCTGGTAGAAGAGGTGAAGGGCTGGCAGTTGAAAGACTTGGGTTCTCAATCTAGCTGTATCACAGACCCACTGAGCCCTGGCCAGTATTTATCCTCTCTCAGTTTGCAGTTTCTCCAACTGTTAAATGAGCTTCATAATATCTGTTCTACTTGCCCACCAGGATTATTGTGAGAATAAAATAAGGCAATAGACATGAAAAAGCTTTGGAAAGTTAAAATGGTTATAGAAATGTGCTGTTGTTTGTTACACCTCTGTTACAAGGTTCACTGATACAGATCTATGGATTATAAATGATTGTGTCCAAGACTTTGCTGCTGCCTTGCTAGCTGTCTCTACGTAACCCTTTTATGTAGCAGTGATTCTAGTGTAGGATCTAGTTATCTTGCTCTTTTTCAGATTCTCTGATACCTGTATTTTTTGTTATTTGACTCTCAGAATGAGCTTTGGCATTGTTTCTGAGTTATTTGAATAGGATGGATTTGTTTGAGCAGTTCTCAAATTTGGCTGTCCATTGGAGTTGGTGGCTGGGTCCCATCCCCAGAGATTCTGAAATAATTGGAATGGGGTGCAGCTTAGACACTGGGATTTTTAAAAGCTCCCTAGGTGAGTCTAATATGCAGCAAAGTTTGAGACCCACTGTTAGACATAGCCCTGAGCAAAACTGCATAGCATTGCGCTACACAAGGCCAAGGATGAATGGCAGACACCTCTGGGCTCAGTGTGAACTTCTCTGGCCCTGCCCTCTTCCCAGGGGCATCATACCTACCCACTGGCTATGGGGCAGCTTCCTGCCACTGAATTTCACTCTTGCTATGAAATCTAAATGAAAAAGCAGAAAGATGAGAACCCCGAATGACAACACAGGGATTGGGCTCATCAGAGGAGGGAAAGCTATTGGAGATTTCAGGGTTGTTTGGTGAACTCAGGAATATCCATACCCCTTTTATTTTTGACTGTGTGCTCCTAATACTAACACTTTTGGAAGATTTCCCAGAAATTAAAAATGAAAACTGAAAATAATCTAGCAATATGTTGCTCAAGAGCCAGAACAATCTTTTTTTTTTTTTTTTTTTGGCCACGAGGCTTGTGGGATCTTAGTTCCCTGACCAGGGATTGAACCCGGGCCCTCAGCGGCAAAAGTGCAGAGTCCTAACCACTGGACCGCCAGGGAATTCCCCAGAACAATCTGTTTGGAGGGCCTTTGGCTGAACCCCACTGGTCTATCGCTCTTCCTTCCCTTCTTTCTTCACGGTGAACTTTAACCAGGAGCCTCTGTAAATCAAATGCCCACTCTGGTTTGAAAGTTGGTTGAAAGTGGTTGAAAGTGTTCAGCTATTTAGAACACTTAACCATCCACTTACCTCCTTCTCCATTTTTCCAAGGTTTTGATACACAATTCAAAAGAAGAAAAACAAGAGTCTGTTTGGTAACCACCTCCTTAAATGTTTTTCCACCAGAGGCTGTCCCTGTGCTGGGGATGGTGGTGTTCTCCTTTGGTGCATTTGTGCTCCTTGGCCGTGGGCCTGAGGTTGGTGGGGGCATAGCTTACCCCTTCTCAAGGGAACTCTGGGGTGCCCCTCAGCTTGGCATAGGGCCAAGTCTAGCCAATTAGAGTTGTTTATAGCATCTGCTAATTATTCCTGGAGACCTTTGCAGAATGACTTAGCTTATCTTTTTCTTTTGTAATGAATGGGGCTTTGACCCTTCTTGAAATCCAAGCTTTTTAGAGTCTTTCTGTCAGAGGGGTGATCTTAAGTTGCAGATGAGTGTTAATTAATCAGCCACCTCTGCTCTGTAGGCTGAGATCCTTTGCTGGGTGGATGTAGGATCACGGTGCTCTAACACAAAGTTCTCTTGTCTTTTCCAACTGTGGAGTGCTATCCTGTTTCTGTTGGGAGATGGTGAAGATAATGGGGAGGTTTATTCACTTTTCATATTAAATATCATATACAGTTGAATGGCTCAATCTGTTTAATTTTACCACACGAACACTTAGCAAGTCTTAGATCGCGGTTTTATCCCTTAGCCTCATGTCACCTGCGTTTGTGTTTTCCGAGTCTGTAGACTGTGGATGAGGGCCTAAGGGCTTCGTGTTTCATGTTCCTCACTGATGCTAGGGTCTTTTTCACTTTAGCCATGTTTCCTGAGAGACTGGGAGTTGCAGGTGCACTTCAAAATCCACGGACAAGGGAAGAAGAACCTGCACGGGGACGGCTTGGCGATCTGGTACACGAAGGATCGGATGCAGCCAGGTACTGGGACCCTGGGTTGCTCTTGTGGGGTGTGTGACAGGCCTGCTTTTTTGTGTGCCCTCTTTTTGAGAAGGGCGCGTCTCCACAGTGCCAGCGGTTTTCCCTCTCCCTTGATGTCTGTAGATAAAGACTGGCCTGTCTAGTCTCTAGAATGGGGTCTGAGTCCTAAAAGCAGCTGAACTTGACTCATCCCGGGTGATTTCTTGCTAATTGGTAACTTCCACTTTCCCTTTGAAACCTCCCGGCCCGTTAGCCGGAGGAAAGCACTGCCTGTCCCGAACACTGACATTGGGCATGCTGGTTTCTTCTGGGCATGCGTAGTGACCGATCTCAGAACTCCTGAGTCAGGAGAAAGGAGAAGAGTTATCTATTTTTCCTTGTTGTGTGGGAGCCATTGCTCCAAGTTGTGGCAAAACTCAGCCTGATTTGACCTGATCTCTTCTGCAACAAGAAGTGGAAACTTGGGAATTCAGTTCTCTCAGGGGTGTAGTCGTCACCAAGTGTTTGTGAAGCAGAATTCTTTAGGGGCGCCTTAGCAACCAGTTTGGATCAGGGAGCAACTGGGGTGCTAAACAGGGTGGTGCTGGCCTTCTCTCTTTCCCCGCCTTTAATGACAGACAACTGCAGGTGCTTACTGGGTGCTTGTTACAGGCTGTGCCCTTCACTGGGTGCTTTTACAGCTGTTTCCTCATCTTAAGGAGAGGCTGGGGAGTCTTTTGAATTTCATTTTTTCCTCTATCATAGTGATGTATTATTCCTTTATCAACTCTTGGCTTTATTTCACTGTTCATCATCTGTTCTCTCTCTCTAGGGCCTGTGTTTGGAAACATGGACAAATTTGTGGGGCTGGGAGTATTTGTAGACACGTATCCCAATGAGGAGAAGCAGCAAGAGGTAATGGCAAGTGTCAGAGCTTAGGTCAGCTGCCCTGACGTCACAGCCCTTTGCCTTAGGAATGTTGTTCAAGAGGAAACAGAGGGGAAAGAAAGTGAGGGGTTCGGTTCTATTTTCTTCACCTGCTGAACTTCAAGAGTTACTGTCTCTGTCAGGGTGTTTTCTGGATAGAGCTGTTTATGGTGCACAGTCTTGGGAATGGCTCTCGCGAATGGGGCTTTTTCTTTAGTGTCAACAGTGTGCTCTCTTGTGCACGTTGGGAGCCCCTAGGCTTGAGCATGCGTGGCTGGTTGGTGCGCCTAGGCCAGCACAGAGCAAGCTGAATTTATGTACCCCCACTCCCCTGACGTACTGTATCACTGCTGAGCTCTCTCCTGCAGCTGCTCCCCCTTGCCAGCATCCTCTTCTTCTTCCTCTTCTCAGAGGACTGCACAGCAAGTCTCCTCTCCTCTAGGAAAGGCTGTAGAAAGAAATTGGTGAAATCTCAGCATTTTGTTGAAATCCAGTATCTGGCTGTTGGCAGAAGCTTCTTGTTGTTAGCTGACCCTGAGTGTTCTTAAGTACTGTCTTACACTAGCAACAGGTCTGCGCTCGCTCTCTGCCTAACGGCCCTAAGAGCAAATGGTGGGAAGATGATTAGGACACGTTGTTGCTGGGTATCCTGTTGCTAAATAATATTTAGAAAGGAGGGCAGGATTAGGAATGGAGGCAGAACTTACTGTACTTTTTTCCCCAAAAGTTCCTTATGAAAAATTTCAAACTTATAAAAAAATTGGATGAACAGATCATTGTATATACAACACCCAGATTCAACAGTTTTTCACATTCCCCACAGAGTTCTGCTTAGAGGAAGTGGAAAGTGAGACCTGAGTTAGGAGAGGAACCTTTGTTGTGGGTCAGTTATAGACTTGCTTCTCCACGTTGCTTCTGGGCTCTTCTTCCGTCCATCAGACCTCAAGCACTTTCAAGGTGCCAGGCCCTGGGAATTAGCGAGACCAGCACAGTCCTTGCACTTAGTAGCAGGGGTGCTGATGTAGTAGTGGGGGTGCTCCAAGGGGGGGCTATAGGAAGACCCAGCAGGAGCATCTAACCTGGGGTGGGACGGTGGTGGTGGGGACAGTGGTTGGGAAAGACTTCTTCCAGGAAGTGACATTGATGTTGAAATCTGCAGACTTAGGAACCAGTGCAGAGGGAAAAGCCATGTGTTAAGGTGATAAAGTTAGAGAAGGGAAAGTGGATGTGAGGGGGAAAAGGGGGGTCAGGGAGAGATGAGGGTAGAAAGAAAAACAGGGCCCTCGGTCTCGCCATGTTCCAGGGCTGCCATTCACATTGCATTCTTTGCTGCTAACACTCTTCCCTCTTGAGCAAGTTAACTGGCCCGTGAGATTGAGCAGCATCTCCTTGGGGAGTTGGTGACTTGGCTGTTTAGACCTGCAGCAGAGCAACCTGAATGTAGGTGACTCGTCCTCACCGTGCACATTGTGGGGCAGGTTCTGAAGGGTGGTGTGTCTCTTGGGGAGTCTGGGTTTCTAAGTATTTAAGGGGGTAAGTGCATTAAAGGATTTTAATGAGGGGAATGTCATGAGAAGGTTTGCAGTCCCGCTGAAGAAATAGTAGTGGTAGTTAGAAATACATCTGAATAAGAGGTGTGGGCTTCAGGGCTTGACTAGAGTTTTTTTTTTTTTTTTTTTTTGCGGTGCGTGGGCCTCTCACTGCTGTGGCCTCTCCCATTGCGGAGCACAGGCTCCGGATGTGCAGGCTCAGCAGCCATGGCTCACGGGCCCAGCCGCTCTGTGGCACGTGGGATCCTCCCGGACCGGGGCACGAACCCGCGTCCCCTGCATCGGCAGGCGGACTCCCAACCACTGCGCCACCGGGGAAGCCCTTGACTAGAGTTTTAAACGTGGCTCCCTGTTTCTCCCAGAAATAAATCGTTCAAACTCTTTTAGCTTCCATTTCTCCATCAGATAGAAGTAATTCTGGTTGAGAGGGCAGATCTGATGGGCCTTATTTTGTAAGGAGAGTAGATGTTAATCAAAAAAAATTAGTTTCAGATGGTAAAAATCGGGACTTCTTTTCTGCCTTACTCCCAGCTGCACTTGGAATTACCTGGAGAGCATTTAAAATGATTGATGTCCAGGCCCCGAGGTCAGAGAGCCTGATGCTGTCCTGATTGCCCAGGTGCAATCTGGGCAACCTTACTTTTTCAAAGATCTCCAGGTGAGAGTCCCATACATAACCAGGTTGAAGAACCCCTGGATCAACGTCAGGTCATTGTTTCCTTATTATTTATTAAACAAATTTATTAAAACTAAATTAAAAAAACGAATAAAAGCAGTTTCTGTTTTTCAGTGGCTGTTATGTGCCAGGTACTTTGCAGTTATTATTTTGATTCTCATCAAATCTCCTTATAGTCAGTATTATTTTTCCCATTTTACCAATGCATAAACAGAAGACTGGAGAAGTGTCTTGTCTAAGGTGACAGCCAGTATAAGGTGGAGCCAGATTTTGAACACTGGTCCACCTGATTCCACAGGCTGCACTTGTAATTATGGTGCTCTGCCACCTCCCATCCGTTTTTTCCTTATGCCAGGATGATTTCCTTTAGAACGGAGATATTCATTCTCAGAGTGATCTCCTCTGCAATTTCAGTTCTCAGAGCTTATGCTCAGTGCAGAGAGTGGGGAAGGTGTACTCCTCTCTACATCCCAATGACCTGGTACTGTCTTAGAGGGTGAAGTCAAATGTGTTTTGTTAGCGGCATGGTTTTCTTTGACATCATACTTGAAGGCGCCAGGCATCGTTTTGAGTGCTTTTACATGTCTTACCTATTTATCCTAACAACCCCTTGGGGTAGATATTATTATTATCCCTACATTATGGGTAAGAAGCTGAAGTACAGAAAGGTTAAAAAAAACTCGTCAGTGACACCCAGGTAGTGGGTTTGACTCCAGAGACTGCAATCTCTTTATTTTGCTCTACTATTTTGAGCTCATAAGGAGAGGGTGACAAATATAGTACCTTTTGAAAATTTGGAAACGTCGTGTGTTGAAGATGTGCTGGACGAGGAGGACAAGGAGCAGGCAGGAGGGGCTGTGGAACAATTCAGCAGGTCACTCAAGGCAGTGGCAAAATTGTCTCTCTGGTTTCTTGTTTCCTTGTCACCAGAGTGCCCTTGACATCGTTTCTCAGTTCACTGTCTACCACATTTGTTTATGAGGAAATATTGGGAAAATACTGGCAACATTAATGCATCTGAGAAGGGGGTGAGGGAGTTTAGGATTTAAGTTGTGTTTAGCCTTGGCTCCCTGAAATCTGGACACGTTGTTCAAAATCACATAACCTCAGTTCCCCCATGAGCAATATAAGAATTGTTGTTTAGGTAAGTCAAGAGCTTTAGTATTTGAAGAACAGGGTACCACCTGTGCCACAGTGAGATTGTCAGACCATAAATGGCTGTTAAAATGATAGTTGAAGAAATAGAAAATTTGGATAGATTGAATTGGTAATTAAAAAGTGACTCACAACGAAAAGCTCAGGCCCAGATGGCCTCACTGGTAAATTCTACCAAACATAAGGTAGAATTAATACCAATTCTCAAACCCATATGAAACGTCAAAGGAGCGGATGCTAACCAATTCATTCTTTGAGGCCAGTATTATCCTGATACCAAAGCCGGATAAAGACATCACAAGAAATGGAAAGTACAGACCAATATCTCTTGTGAGTATAGATGTAAAAGTCATCAACAAAATACTAGTAAACCAAATCTAGCAACATATAAAAAGGGGTATACACCATGTATAAATACACTATATTCTAGGAATTCACAATTGGTTTAATATCTGAGCATTAATATGATAGACCATATTAATAGAATAAAGGACAGAAACCATATAATCATATAGATGTAGAAAAAAGTATTTGACAAAATTAAATACCTTTTTATGATAATAAAAATACTCAACAAATTAGTAATAGAAGGGAGCTTAACCTGATAAAGAGCATTTATGAAAACCCTACGGCTGACATCATACTTAATTGTGAAAGACTGAATCCTTTCCCCCTAAGATCAGGAATAAGGCAAGACTGTCTGCTCTTGCCTCTTCTGTTCAACATTGTACGGGAGGTTCTAGTCAGGGCAGCTAGTCCAGATTGTGAAGGAAGAAGTAACGATTTCTCTTTGTAGATGATGTGATCTTATCTATAGAAAATCCTAATGAATTCACAAAAAGCTATTAGAACTAATGAATTCAGCAAGGTTACAGGATATAAGATCAACATACGAAAATCTATTGTGTGTTATATTCTTGCATTGAACAATCAGAAAATGAAAGTAAGAAAACAATTCCATTAACTATCGTCAAAAAAAATAAAGTACTTAGAAATAAATTTAACTGAAAAACTTATACTCTGAAAACTATAAAGTATTATTGAAAGAAACTGAAAAAGAGCTAAGTCAATGGAAAGACATCCCATGTCATGGATTGGAAAATTTTGTATCATTAAGATGGTGATACACTCCCCACATTGATCTGCAGATTTGAGGGAACCCCTATCTTTCAAATGCCTAGCTGGCTTCTTTGCAGAAATTGACAAGCTGATTCTACAATCAGTATTGAAATTCAAGAGAACCAGAATAGCCTCCTCTTGATTAAAGAGGAGCAAAGTTCCAGGACTCACACTTCCTGTAATTAAAACTTACTATAAAGCTACAGTAATAAAGACAGTGTGGTACTGGCATAAGGGTAGACATATAGGTCAATGGAATAGAATTGAAAATCCACACATAAATCCTCACAATTATGAACAAGTGATTTTTGATAAAGGTGCCAAGTCAATTCAATAAGGAAAGAATCATCTCTTCACCAGATGGTGCTGAGACAACTGGATATCCATTGGCAGCATAATGAAGTGTTTCCCTACCTCACACCATACACAAATGTTAACCCAAAGTGGATCAAAAACTAAACGTGAATCACCAAAATTAAAAAGTTTTA